TATATAACCCAGCAGTGGGATAGCTCGGTCATATGGTAGATCTATCTGCAACTGTTTGAGGAACCTCCATACCATTTTCCATAGAGGCTGCACCATTTTGGAATCCCACCAACAATGTATGAGAATTCCTTTTTCTCTGCAACCTCGCCAGCATTTATAATTCACAGTCTTTTGGATATTTGCCATCCTAACTGGGGTGAGATGGTATCTCAGTGTGGTTTTGATTTGCATTTCCCGAATGCTGAGTGATGTTGAGCATTTTTTCATATGACTGTTGGCCATTTGTATATCTTCTTTAGAGAAATGCCTGCTTAGCTCTTTTGCCCATTTTTTGATTGGGTTGCTTGTTTTTTTCTTGTAAAGTTGTTTGAGTTCCTTATATATTCTGGATATTAGTCCTTTGTCGGATGTATATTTTGCAAATATTTTCTCCCACTCTGTTGGTTGTCTTTTAGCTCTGTTAATTGTTTCTTTTGCTGTGCAGAAGCTTTTTAGTTTGATATAATCCCATTTGTTTATTTTTCCTTTGGTTGCCTGTGCTTTTGGGGTCATATTCATGAAGTCTGTGTCCAGTCCTACTTCCTGAAGTGTTTCTCCTATGTTTTCTTTAAGAAGTTTTATTGTTTCAGGGTGTATATTTAAATCTTTGATCCATTTTGAGTTGATTTTAGTATATGGTGAGAGGTATGGGTCTAGTTTCATTCTCCTGCATATGGATATCCAGTTATCCCAGCACCATTTGCTGAAGAGGCAGTCTCTTCCCCAGTGTATAGGCTTGGTGCCTTTGTCAAAGATCAGATGGCTGTAGGTGTGTGGGCTGATTTCTGGATTCTCTATTCTATTCCATTGATCAGTGTGTCTGTTTTTATGCCAGTACCATGCTGTTTTGGTTATTATAGCTTTGTAGTATAGTTTAAAGTCAGGTAGTGTTATGCCTCCAGCTTTTCTTTTTTTTGCTCAGTGTTGTTTTGGCTATGCGTGGTCTTTTGTTATTCCATATAAAAGTCTGGATAGTTTTTTCCATTTCTGAGAAAAATGTCATTGGAATTTTGATGGGGATTGCATTGAATTTGTATATCACTTTGGGTAATATGGACATTTTCACAATGTTGAGTCTTCCAGTCCAAGAGCATGGGATATCTTTCCCTGCTCTCTCCAGTTTAAAGGAGGGAATTGGTAACTGGCCTGCTACCTAGATAGTCTACTATATGTCTGTATCTATAATCTCCTGCCACAGGCATCTGTGGGTCAGCTGGCCTCTTATCCCCACCTGAAGTCTGAGTTATGCCACCTTCCATCCAACCTGAGACCTAAACTTGAGAAAACAAGGACTGGGCCTAAGGTAGCCCTGCACACGTTCGAATGTTGTAAATAAGGTCTGCTCTGTTCCCACAAATTTGAGGAAGGGAGTTTGAAAACTGGGCTTCTGCCTCTTTCAGACCAACATCATGCCAACAAGGGCAAGAATGGGATAAAGGTGAGCAAAATGGCCCTTTTAAATGTGGCTTTTTCTTATCTAGGGATTTGCTTGGTTGTTGTAGTCCTCTGACTATTTTTCAGAGCTCCTATAAGATTATTTTTAAACAATTCTTCTATTTTTTTTTGAGTCTCCATGGGAAATGCAGCTTGAAGCTTCCTAGTCTGTCATTTGCTGATGTTACTCTCACCATGGATCTTATTTTGATTGCACAGATTGTTTGAATTGGTGTCAGGCAAAATGTAGTAAAAGCTCCTCATGCTGGTATTTCCCACAACTGCTGTTGCCCACGGAGACACTAAATAGACCAAAAGAAACCATTGACACTGTTTTGTCACCTTTCCTAAACTTTCTTCTGCTATTTCCTGTATTCTTTGAGAGAAGTCTCATCTATTTTTTCTTTGAATTTCTAATAAGTTTCTGTCCTACTGCAAGAGCCAACACTGAAGAATTTCCTTAAGAAAGAAATTCTCTGAGAGCTATTCACACCCAACCTAACACTTGAGAAGACAGTACCAGTGAGGCAGGCTATAGCCTATGCTTGAGCAAATTAATAAAGGAATATAGAAATGGCCAAACAGCTGACTTCTAGTTTTAGTGAAATACCATGTGGAAGAATGGTTGTGAACCTGCCTTCTTACAAAATTGCTGAAGATGTGTTTGAAATAGATCTCTGGCTACTTGAACTATTTAGCAATTATTTATTAATTTACTATGATGTGAGAGACCCTTTACCAGGGACCATGTCTTTGGGTGCTTATAAACTTTATTAGAAGAGACAACTTACTGAACCTTAAAGTAGGTGAAGACTTCTTTTACTTTAGTTATTTCTTATTTCTGTTGCATCCTTGGCTGCCATTTAATTGCAGCTAGTTTGTTTTCTAAAACTTAAGGTGCAACTTGATAAAAGAATGTCCCAAAGGCAGAGGCAACTCAATTATACAGAAGCACATGTGAATTGTGCTGGTCATGTGTGTTGGGGAGATTTTATGGGAAAGTAGGACTTATTCCTGCTCCCTCATCCACTTTGCTAGAACAGCCCTAAGTACAGTGTGAGGGGTATTCCTCTGAGTGATACTAATGGGTCGATGTTAACAGGCTCAGCTCTTAGACTTCTCACTCTGGTGTCTCTGGTTGGTGAAACTGGAAGGCAACTAAGCTTTGCCTCACAATCTTTAAGAAAGCAAGGTTGTGTCCTTAAGACTTTAGAGGGAATGAAGAAATGAAGACTGATCACAGTGTTGCTGTCTGATGGGTCTATGGACAATGTGCAGATTCCTTCATTCTGTCATTATGTGGATATAATTTTCAGTAAGATAATGATCTTAATATAAAAAGCACAGTTATATTTAGCAGAAGTAGCCAGAACTGATAAAAGGACTATGGCAGAAATGAGAGGTTTGCATGATTCTGGAACTTTCTTTACCATTTAAAAGTCATAATTTGTGAAGTTGAGTATCTTTAATTTCTTCTTATATATCTGCTCATTTTTTGATGCAGTTGTTCTTTTTCTCAATGCTTTAAAGTGATTCTTATGCCTTAAAAATTATCTTTTTTGTGTGATATATATTAAAATATATTCCTCATCTTGCCATTTGTCTTTTTGCTTTGCTTATGTTTTCATATAAAGAGTGTCTTTTCATATGTAGTTGAATTATCAACTTGTCTTTTATGTATTTCCATTATGTCACTGTTAGAAAGGGCCTTCCTCCTCCAATATTTTTTTTTAACTCTCTCATATTATTTAATTTTATGGTTTAATTATTAATGTTTAAATTTTTGAACCACCTGAAATTTATTTGGTTTAATGTATGAAGGAGACTCCAACATTTTTTCTTTTTAGATTCAAACCATAGTCTAAACACTATTTGCTGAATATTCCATATTCCTTCATTAATATAGAATGACAAATTTATCGTCTACTGAATTTCTGCATGACTTTGTACTGATTTCTAAACTTCCAAGTCTACTTTATTTGTTTCAATATTCAGGTGCTGGTACCATGGTGCTAATTGTTAGGATGTGTTAAGTGTGGTCAAAACTAGTTCCCTTTCTTTTATCTTTTTGTCAGAATAGAACTGGATAATTTTGTTTGTGGCTTTTCCATGTAAATTTTAAAATAGTTTAAAATTTGTCCACTTCGTAAAATATTATGCTTGACATATTGATGTGAATCACATTAAGTTTAATAATAAATTAAATATTAAAATTAAATTAAACAGAACTATTAAGTAGTTTTGACATTTTTGTCTATTTTTACAAATTTTTGTGTCTTACACAGCATTTAAAAATTTTATTCATATGAATTTTATGTACTTCATGATAATTTTATTCTGCAGTATTTTATTGGTTTTGAAGCTACTGCAAATTTTGTCTTTTCTTTCACTATATTTTATAACTTGTTGTTTCTCATTTCTTTAAATTACTTTAATCAATATTAAATTTGTCTTTTCCATGGAACACCCTGATATATTCAGGTAATCACTTTTTAGTTTTAAACTTTTGTTAAATGAAACTAATATAGCACAACAAAATAAGCCTCATTTTATAACTTACTGAAAGTAATTCTGAGCCAATTTTATTTGCACTCTCAGAATTTTAAATCCTTTATCAAGCAGCTCTGCTTGGACCTATAAGAGGGAAGGAGTCCACTTTTGAAAATCCCCAATTATCAAGAGTTAGCATTTTGTATTTTATGCCCAGCAGCCCAGCTAGGCACAACTGTCTATTTCTCTAACATCGTCATGATCTTTGATATGGTTCTTCAATATTTCCATATGTTTGGACCTGAATAATAAGAGTATCCATGGCTTATAGCTTTCTAAGTTTTGCTGAGCACCATCTCATTAAGGGAGCAGAGAGGCTGGGGCTAGGTCAGGCCTGGGATCTTACCTGGGCATGTGTACCAGTCTCAAGGAAGGCCTTTGGAAGGGAACGTAAGTTTGGTCCTAATTAACTCTCAGTTTTATTTGAGGTAGTGTGACCATGCCCATCTAACAAATAATGGGAACTGCTGACCCTGCATAGAAAACTAGATATCAAGTTGCATGTTGGGCCATGGAAAGAATATCCTCTGTGCTCTACAGAATGACACACTCAGGTCTAGAAACAAAGATAGCAAATTTTAGAGGTTTCAGTATCTTGTATTCCATATCAGACCTAATCTAACAGTTTCAAGATTAAGTAGATCTATTTGAAGTGCCTTTGATGGTTGTACCAGAATCCTAAATACCACAGGACTAAGATCCTATTTGGGTCATTAGGAAGCCACCTTATAATCACCATAAATAGAAGCCCAGGGCCCTGGGGGATGCTATTTCTATACTCCAAAGTCTAACATTCACAGAAAGTTCTGGAACATTGTAAATTTAAGAGCCTCAGCAGGAAGAAGATGATTTGAGGCATTCAGTGAGTTATATGTCTTTTGTGTTTCCCTCAGGAAACACAACATTAGCTAAAATTTTGGCCATTCCCTTCCTGAGGAACTGTCCATCAGGCACTGCCCAGCCCCGTCCCGACTCACCTTCAGCTTGTGCTCCAGCATCCTTTCCTGCTCTCTCAGAAGGTTTTCTCTTTCTTGCTCCATCTTCTCCTTCAGTTGGGCCATGTTCTCCTGGAAGCTTCTTTCTTGAGTCTCCATCATTTGCTGCTGCTCCTTCTGTTTCTGTCTGAGCAGCTCCTGCTCCTTCTCAGCTGCCTCCTTCTTGGACTGCTTAGCTGTTCCACCAAGGTCTTAGAAAGGGAAGGAAACAATATTCAGGCCTAATCATTTTATGCCACAGTATTTCATTTGTTTTGATGCTATTTCAAATTTGTTGTTTTCTTCCATTACATCTTCTAACATTTGTTTTCCATTTTTCAAAATGTGACTTAAACTAAATTTGTCTTCTGTATGTCAGGCCCTGATATCCTTTGGTAATCACTTTTTATTTTTAAACTTTTGTTAGATAAAACTAGCATAACACATACTTTAAAAAATGAGCCACTGCATAACAAAATCAGCCTTGTTTAATACATTTCTAACAGGAATTCAGACCCCATTTTATTTGTAAGTTTAGAATTTTCATCCCTACACCAAGTGGCTTACCAGGACCTTGCATTTTGCCCACTAACAAATGGTCAATTTCATCAAAGATCCAAGAACCTAATGAGTGTTCACATTTTTCAGTTTTTTCAATCTCTTTCGTTAGTAGATATATCTGTGTATGCAATTCTTCAGATTTCATTTTAAATCCTTCATTAAGCAGTTCTTTTTGAACCTGTAAAAGGAAAATAGTCCACTTTTATTTTTATCTCAATTATTAAGTCAGAGTTTTGTATTTAACCACTTCGGCAGCTAAGCAAATGTCTACTTCTCTACCACCTTAGAGTTCTCTTTGATGAGTTTGTCCAATATTTCCATGCATTTTTCAGCTCCATTATAATCTTATGGGACCTCCACGTTATACACAGTCCTTTGTTGACTGAATCGTTTCTATGCTGTGTGTGACTGTACAGCAAGTTTCAGAGCTTTCAGCATCCTGTATTTCGTATAAGACCTAATGTGTACTTTCAAGACCAGATACATCTATTTCAGGTCTCTTTTATAGTTGCAACAAGAATCCTAAGGACTAGTGGATTAAGGCCCTATTCAACTGGGGCACAACGAGATGCCATCATCATCACAAATAGTAGTCGAGTGTCTTGGGGAATATTGTTTGTATACCCCAAAGTCTAACATTACAAAGGTGCTAGCATCTAACGAATTTAAGGGGTTCAGGAGGATCCAGATGGCTTGAGGTTTTAGTGAATCATGCCTTTTGTGTTTTCTTCTGTGATCATATCTTTGGTTAACTTTAGTCCATCCCTTCCTGAGGAACCAGGGCACTGTCTGTCAGGCACTGCCCAGCCCCGTCCCGACTCACCTTCAGCTTGTGCTCCAGCATCCTTTTCTGCTCTCTCAGAAGGTTTTCCCTTTCCTTCCCCATCTTCTCCTTCAGTCGTGCGAGATTTTCCTGGTAGCTTCTCTCTCGAGCCTCCATCATTTGCTGCTGCTCCTTCTGTTTCTGTCTGAGCAGCTCCTGCTCCTTCTCAGCTGCCTCCTTCTTGGCCCGCTCGGCTGTTCCACAAAGGTTTTAGAGAGGGAGGAAAACAAGTCAGGCCTGAGTCCTAACCTCCTGAGCTCAGAACAAACCAAGTTTTAAAAATGCTGGGAGGTAGGGGGATAGGGAATCTCTGAATTTTCCCACCACCTACACCAACAAAAGGAATTTCAGAATGTGATGGAAAAGCATCCACCTGATTGTCTGGCTGACACATAACCCCGAGTCCCTTGTTATTTACAGATTTAGCAGAGTATGTGTTCCACAGAAGGAAAGGGAGCTCCTTGTTGCAGGAAGGTTCTTTCTGTCAGATCACTCAGAGGGCACTGCAGGAACCTACCCATCCGGCTGGGACCTGCCCTGCCTCTGTACCTGCTAAGTCCTTCTCTCCGTCTGTGAGGGCTTTGTCTGACTGCAGGATGGATTTCTCTATAGCCGCCTGCGACTGCAGGAAGTTCTGGAGGACTTCATCTGCCTGGGGAACCAAGAAGGAGCAAATACATGTCAGGCCAAGAAGATGTAATCTTTTTCTGGGGAAATCGTTGTTTTATATTATTCTAAAGATGACCTTGTAAATTTTTACACAGTGCTTAGGATCTCCTAGCGCTTCATTTTCTTCCATGGTCACAATATACATTCTGAGCTCTTTTCTAAAACATGAAAAACCTCCATGGTAGCTTCTTTCCTAGCTCCCCAGTTTGGAATGGCTGCCAAGTACTCTGAGCTACCCTACTGGCTCTCTTACTTGCTGGCTGTGTGACTTTGGGCAAGTTATTAACTTCTCTGTGCATCACATTTCTCAATTGTACAGCGTGGATAATATTAGTACCTAATTTATATTATTCTGAGAATTAAGTTGATAATTTGATAAATGTACTTAACTATAGGTTACTTACTATATATGCATGATACAGGAAGGGAGTGTTCAATATGTGAGCCATTATATCATACTCATTATTATTATTATTATCATCATAATTCTTATCACTACTTTTACTTCCTGTTCATGCCAGGATGATAACCCTTTTCACACCATATCCACTTGACTCTTATTTGTTTGTATCTCAAGTGATGTCATCAACATCTTAAGAATAAAGTTTGTTTCTTTAATCTGTGTATACTTCGTACTTAGCTCAAAAACAATGACATGGTTTCATAAATTTAAAAAAAATATTCTCTTTAATCTGAAATTCTATATTCCATATCCTTTCTTTGGTAAGAAATATTTCTGGTCTCTTTAGGAATATCTAACTAATTGTGGATACAAAAAGCTAAAAGTATTGAGATAACACCATGCTTTATTTTCTCCTTACAAATGGTGCTGTACTCTTAGATTTTCAGAAGGGGCAAAAAGACTCTCTGACTCTACTTTGCTAACTACCCCGACCCCTATTCCTCACCTTAACTCCTTTCCCAGGCACTAGCTCATAGTCATGTTCAACCTTCTTCTTTGCTTCTAAGTAGAGACTGTGCCCTCCAGGAACAGAGAAAGTGCCTCTTGAAACACTTTCCATCAGGGGCTCTGAAAGCCACTTAAGCTCAGCCTGGCAAAATTTGACAGATGCCTCTTCATTCTGCAGTGAGAAATCTTCCTTCTTTTTCTCTATGGTCTCCTGACAGGAAAATAGAATAGAAAAAAGTTAAAAGGGAAAGTCTCACTGTGAGCCTCTTAGAAGAAGCAGTGTGATGGCCCCTGAATGGACTGGGACATGGAAAGGTCCAGGAGTCAGAAGACTTGTTTTAGTCTCAGTTATGACCAGTTCTGTGTGTGACCTCTGGAAAGTTTCTTAATGACCTTGGGCCAGTTTAATATCTATAAGAGATGTGGTTGAAAGACATGAACTCCACGTTTTCTTTTATAGCAGTCTGATTAGCAGTGATCCAACCATCAACAATGAGCAATAGAAGTTGAATTGTGGCTGGAGATAGAGTTTCCTCAGAGAAGTTGGGTTGCTCAGGATAGAAACATATACATAGAAAATCAACCAAACAGTAATGACTCAAGTGTACCCTGAACAGATTTTGGAACTCTTCATAAATTCTTCCGATGAGGATTTAAGTGTGTGAAAATATAGAAAAGAACAAATTTTCTTGAAATTGCATATTATAATCTAACGGGATGGATCCTGCAAATGACAACAAACTTTATGAGTAGGAGGCTCCCCAGAGGCTTGCAGATACGAATTCAGTCCAGTTGACCCCTTCTTTTTAGCTTTGGGTTACTCTGAGCCACCCCATGCCATAATTCTCACCTACAGATTGGTGAGTTTATTCATGTTTATTGTTTCAAACTGCTAAATTAATGGTACTTTTTAATGCATCAATATAAAATTAATAAAATGTTCATTTTTTAATAAAGGGATGAGCTATGGCCCTATAGAGAGTCCCTTCATTCATAAGAATCCAAGTTCCTTCTACAATGGTAAGAAGATGAGCAATAGGGTCAAAAGGCAGCTAAATCATCATTCCAGAAGGGCAGAAATCAGGAAGGATAAGTACTAAAACAGGTACCATGAGCTTCTTCTGGAATTCTTGTCTGTCATCTTTGAAGGAGCACTCCATGAAGACTGAAATGGCCTCCCTCTCACATGCCATGTGCACGTCCAGCAGCTCCTGCAGCGTGTCTGTGGGGAACCTCATGTGCTGGGCCATCTGCTCACTGTAGTGGTTGGCTGCCTTCTGCACGGCCACTGCGTTCTCACGCTGGGCCAGAGTTGTCACTGCGTTCTCCAAACAAGGTACTGATCCACTGTTGATGGCATCCACATAGGTCTCCACAAGTATACCCAGCCCTGAATAAGCCAAGTATTTATAGATAAATATCAAGTTATCACTTACTGTTTTACAGGATTTAGGTATCAACATTCTGAAAATCACCAAAAAACCTACTTAGCAAAAGTTTTCTTTTCTATTCTTTTTTTATTATACCATCTTCTTCAAATAACTTTATTTTTTTCATATTCATTATTTTTTGGTCCTTCAATTCATACACTACAATTTAAATTACTGACCACCACCAATGTGATCAGTGATTTTTGGAAAAATACTTTCCCATTTAATAAAAATCAGAAGCAGATTAGACAGGCAAAGTAAATTTAATACATGAGACCAACTATAGATTAGTGAGCCCCAATTTCAAATGAAAATGTAAGGTCCCTTGTAAAAAAAAAAATCAAAAGTTTTGAGACAGTGACACAAGCACTAATCAAACATGGAATGTTCTAAGCACAGGGCACTGTGAGACTGCACATGTTGCATGTCCATGAATTCAGCCCTGTTTATAGATTATATTGAAATTTGTTTCTTGAACTCTAAGTGAGCATGTTTGGATTCAGGACCTGCTGTTATTTTCTGACTGAAACAAATTTACAAACTATCTTCTAGACCCTTCTGACCAGCACTTATCCCATAATACTTCTCTTTAATATGCAGACATTCTCTCTTTAACTTCATTTTGTCTTGTTATAATTAGTGGATTAGGTTCTTGAGCTATATTAGAGCTCAGCAAACCCTCATATAGGGACATTTTAATTACAAAACATGTTTTCTTATTTGTGGAATGAACATTTGCTTCTCCACACTTACATAAATATGCAAACAAAATTACTGACCAACCTAGAGTATGATCAAAGCTTCATCAATCACACTGAGTACAGCAACGTGATTTGGAGCAAAGGTGACTCACGGTTTCCAGTGACAATGATTCCCTCTCTCAGGGTCTTGGTTTTTGCATTGGTGAAGATATAGGAACAGAAATTTTCTAACTGCCGTTGGAAATTACTATCCAGCTGGTCTTCTGACACATTCTCCATATGTAATAAGAGACGTTTGTCATTTGTTGGCCGGTCAAAGACAAAGCACTTCCGATTTGGAAAGAAATGCCTGATGCACTCTCTAGGCACATTGGAATTCTGGATTTTGGGATTCTTGCCTGCAGATGTAGGGAAAGAACAATCATTGAAGGAATAACCTTTAGGCAAGGGGACTGATAACTTTTTTCCCAGAGATCCTTGCATCATTGTAGCTACTGTGCCTGCAAATCTCCTTTAAGCCAATCATGTATTACCTCATTGCAAACCAACCTTGTGTCAATTTACCAAAAGCAAGAGAAATCCATTTCTGAACAGAGCCAAGAGCCAAAGAAGTATTTCTGGAGAGGAAAAGGAACACACATCCTAAGTGAAGAAACTTATATTAGGTTTCCTAGGCACTTGTATGGATTCCCATAGATTATATATTTAACAAATATTTATTAAACAATTGACTAATAAAACATGATCAGAGGTATTTTTCTGATCTTATTGTTTCCATGTTAGAAATAAAATATGGGCCTTAAAATAAAGTAATGCCAGAAAAAAGGATAGCATTTTGGTGGGGAAAACCTCAGAAGGAGGACACATGATACCCAGTTCAGAAATGAAAAACTGTTATAAATATGAGCCAAAACCATACATAATATAAATATACTTAGAGGTTTCTCCAGCTGAAACCTCAAAAGAGTAAGCTTAATCTAAACATAATTTGAGAATCACTTCTCTATATCAGAGTACGTCAGACTTGACAGTGTCTTATAGAGTGATTTTGTGGCACATATCAGGTGTTCAATAAATGTGTACTGAAAGAATGAATAAATGAATGAATAAATACAAGTGAATATTCCTTGTAGGTTCCACCCATTATCCACTCTGCTAAGTATATGTAATAAATTTATTATAGGATTAAAATTAAAACATTGTGTCAGGCTGTAGAATGGAGAGGATAATGATAGGAGAAAGGTAAAAGGAAGGATTGATAACCTTACTGGAAAGATACGTCAATTTTTTTTGGACTTTTTGGTGAATAAATATTCATAATCTGAAGTATGTTATTCTCCAGAAACTACTAAAATACTCTGTGTGAAGTGTATTTTTAAAATAAGGTCATTTGGTTTCATTGTGATTTCATTTAGCAACTTTCAATCTGATAACCTATTTTACTCAATATATGGGTAGAACAAGAGGAGCCCTTAACAAAGAACCAAAGCAAGTGGGCCTTAGGAAGTTACAGTACTAATTATAACCTGGAAATTGTTTATCATGGTACTTACTGGTCTAAAATCGTTTGGTATGATACTGAGTCCTAAATTTCTTTAAGTGAGCTTAAATTCCAATCACTGGACTTTCTAAAATAATAAACACCAGTCACCAATTACCTTTAGCATGGACCTCAATCCAATCTCAAATAAACATTTATGTCAAGGGCTGAATGTCAGTGTTCAAGTGATTTTATACACTACCGAAATTTCCCCCACCCGGGCTATGCTCTGATACCTGGAATCAGCTTCAAGGCATCTTCCAGGTACTCATCTTCTGTAAGGCTGTGTCCATCTATCACCAGCTCCAGCATGAAGTCCCGTACAGTCCAAACAAAGTCTGGGAAGAAACTTACAAACTTGAAAGAGTCCTCTACTTCACCAGGTGTCGAGGAGGATTTTGCCCTGATTAGCTCTGTCAGTTCAGTCACATAGCTGTGAAGTTAGCTAAGGAAGGAGAAGTGCTGTCTACACCATAATTTTCAGATCTACATGAAAATAAATTTTGTAAATGTTAACTTTTGTTTTATGTTTCTTTTTTTTTTAGTCATGACAACTCTCACAGGAAAGAAGAAACAACCTCTTTTGCCATTCCTGCTAACTCAATGAAACATGATAATTTGGTTTCTGGAAGGATACTGCAGCTGCTCCAGGGCCTGGTGGTTGATGGTGCTAATGCTGTTGTAGACAAAGGTGCTGCTCAGAAGCACAGCCAGGGCAAAGATCCACGAGTCATTCTTAGGGTCACCCTAGAAAGTACATTAGAGCAAGGCACTTAGGAGGCTACTCTTCATTCCTTTATTCTACTGTTCATTCACTATTTCATTACTTTATATTTCTGAATAGTAGGGCAAAGAACACAAGTTTAAAGACAATCCTAAATTCAACCTTGTTTTTGGTATCAACATTGACCCCTCCTGGGACCTCAGTTCCATTAGCTATTAAAAGAAGTGACTTGACACTGTAAATATATGTAAAATGTTTAATACAGGCCTAAAACATTGTAGGTACATAGTAATAATGAGCAATTATTCTTTTAGCAAATTTTTCTTAATATTATCTATATTAACAACAAAAATGCTATTCAAATAAATTCAACAACTATTCTTTGGACACCTATAAAATGCCAGACATTGTATTTGGTTGCATGGATGCAAAAAAGTTCCATATGAGAGTCCCTGCCCTCAAGATGACTTTATAAAGAAGCAGATAAAAGTGTCAACATACAAATATAACTGAGACTATAATGCCTGTCAAGAGAGGAACCAAATGTGAATATAAAATTTCAGTAAATGGGAACATGTATTGAGTGACTTCAGGGCAAGAAATGACTATATGTCTGACAGGGATACAATGGCCATAGTTGTAAAATTATTGGGCTGATTGAGGATTGATACCAGCAAGATGGTAGAATAGGGCTTTCTAGTGCTCATTCCCCCACAGAAACATCAATTTGGAAATCTATCCATACAAGAAAATACATTCACAAGAGCTAAGGAAACCAGGTGATATATTACAGCACTTGAAGGTAGCACAGAAATGAGAAGACATATTAAAAAGGGTTGGAGGGACAGTTTTACATTACCTGCATCACCCCTCACCCAACCTGAGGTAGCAAAGCATGAAGAGAGATACCCACTGCCTGGGAGAAATGAGGGAAGTGAACACCAAACTTTGCTTTGAACCTCAACATCCCCCCACAGTAAAACCCAGTGCTTGGCAGGCCTCCACAGCTCCAGACTCCAGGCTGGTACCTGTGGACTAAGCCTTTAGGCCAGCCCCAATACCAAGCAGGATCCGGAAGGCACAGGATTCAGGCCTTCCCAAAGGACTCAATCTCTTCTCCTATCACATAGCCAGGATGACGCCAGCAGCCCCAGACTCTGGACCACTCTAAGCAGTGGGCTGCCCCGATGGCCCAGGCTTCAGGCCTGCCCAGCTCCAGGCTGGCCTCTGCAGCCCCAGTTATCAGGTTAGCATCTGCAGACTCACCCTCCAGCCCAGCCCCTATGGAAACATGCTCCAGGCCTGTCCAGTGAAAGCCCATATGGATTCAGGCTCCAGGCTGCTACATGCAGATTAAGCCTCTAAGCCCACCCTGATGCCAAAGGGGATCCCACACCCCCAGGCTCTAGGCAGACTCCAGGTAGCCTGCTTGATAGACTCAATTTCTGGCCTGCCCCAGCAGCAGGTTCAGCCCCAGGCCAAACAGACTAATAATGAGCAATGAGACTGAACTGGAAATCAGCAGACTCCCCAAAAAGAAAAGCCCAGGATCAGACTGGCTTCACTGCTGAATTCTGTCAAATGTTTAAAGACTAATTAATACCAATCCTTTTCAAACTGTTCCAAAAATCAAAACAGAGGCCATTTTCCCAAACTCATTCTATGAGGCCAACTTCACTCTGATACCAAAATCAGACAAAGAAACAACACAAAAAGAAAACAACATGCCAATATCCTTGATGAACATAGATGCAAAAATTCACAACAAAATCTCTCTATATATATGCTTTTCAGCAGCTGGCCAGTATAGGATCTCAGTGTTATCAGCACCACACTCTAACCAACTGAGCAAACTGGCCAGCCCCCTCAACAAAATATTAACAAACCAAATCCAACAGCTCATCACAAAGATTATAAGCCATGATCAGATGGGATTCATACCAGGGATGCAAGGATTTTTCAACATATGCAAGCCAATACATATGATACACCACATCAACAAAATCAAGGAAAAACCCATATGATCATCTCAACAGATGAAGAAAACCAGGGATGCAAGGATTTTTCAACATATGCAAGCCAATACATGTGATACACCACATCAACAAAATCAAGGAAAAACCCATATGATCATCTCAACAGATGAAGAAAAATTATTTGACAAAATTCAACATCACTTCATGATAAATACTCTCAACAAGCTAGGTATAGAAGGAAAGTATCTCAACACAATAAAAGCCATATATGGCAAATTAACTGCCAACATCATCCTGAATGGGGAAAAGCTGCAAGCTTTTCCTTTAAGAACAGGAACAGGACAAGGATGCCCATTCTAACTGCCCCTCTTTAACATAGAATTGGAAGTACTAGCCAGAGCAATCAGGAAAGAGAAAGAAATAAAGGGCATCTAGATTGAAAAAGAAAAATTCAAACAGTCCTTGTTTACAGTTGATATGATCCTACCTATAGAAAAAACTAAAGACTCCACCAAAAAACTATTAGAGCTGATAAACAAATACAGTAAAGTTGCAGGATACAAAATCAATATATAAAAATCAGTAGTGTTTTTATACACCAACAATAAATGAGCCAAAGAAGAAATCAAGAAAATAAGCTCATTTACAATAGCTACCAAAAAAATAAAATACCTAGGAATCAATCTAACCAAAGAGGTGAAAGATCTCTACAATGAGAACTACAAAACACTGATGAAAATAATTAAAGAGGATACAAAAAGATGGAAAGACATTCCATGTTCATGAATAGAAAGAATTAATAGTGTGAAAGTGTCCATTCTACCCAAAGTGATATAGATTCAATGAAATTTCCATTAAAGTAACAATGACATTTTTCACAGAAATAGAAAAAATAAATCCTAACACTCAGATGGAAAAACAAAATATGCTGGAAATTCTGAGCAAATAAAATACAAAAAAAGAAAGCTGGAGGCATTACAGTACCTGACATCACATTACACCACAAAACTATAGTAACCAAAAAAGCAAGGCACTGGTATAAAAACAGACACATGGACCAATGGAACGGAATAGAGAGCCCAGAAATCAATCCATGTACTTACAGCCAACTGATCTTCAATAAAGGTCCAAGACATACACTGGAGAAAGAATAGCTTCTTCAATAAATGGTGCTGAGAAAACTGGATATCCATATGTAGAAGAATGAAACTAGTCCCGTACTTCTCTCCATATACCAAAATCAACTCAAAATGGTCAAACACTTAAATATAAGACCTGAAAGTGTAAAATTCATAGAAAAAAACAAAGGGGAAACATTTCAGGATGTAGGATTGAGCAAAGACTTTATGTATAAGATCTTAGAAACACAGGAAACAAAAGAAAAAAAATAAACAAATGAATTATATCAAACTAAAACCTTCTGCTCAGTAACGGAAACAATCAATAGAGTGAAAAGACAACCTACAGAATGGAAGGAATTATTATCCAGAATATACAAGGAACTCAAACAACTTAACAGTAAAAAAAATGAGTAAACTAATTTAAAAAATGGGTGAAGGAGTTGAATAGACACACACACACAGTCTCAAAAGAAGACATGCAAATGGCCAACAGGTACTTGAAAAAATGCTCAGCATCACTAATCATCAGAGAAATGCAAATCAAAACTACATTAATATATCATCTCACCCCAGTTACACTGGCTATTATCATAAAGACAGAGAATAAAAAATGCTGATAAGGATGTGGAGAAGTGAGCCCTTGTACACTGTTGTGGGGCTGTAAATTAGTACAGCCATTATGGAAAACAGTACTGAGGTTTTTCAAACACTTACAGATACAACTACCGTATGATCCAGTAATCTCACTACTGGTATGTCCCCAAAGGAACAGAAATCATCATATAGAAGGGATACACACACTCCCATGTTGATTGTAGCTCTGTTTATGGAATGGAAAGATATGGAAACAACTTAAATGTCCATTAATGGAAAACTGGAGAAGGAAAATGTGGTACATATACATAATGGAATACTACTAAGCCATAAAAAATGGAAATTCTGCCATTTTCAGCAGCATAAATGAGCTTGGAAAAAATTATATTAAATGAAAGAAGGCAGATGCAGAAAGAGAAATACTGCACGTCCTCACTCATAAGTGGGAGCAAAAAAATAAGAAAAAAAAACAAAAGAAAGAAAGAACTAATCTTAATAATACATTAAGGTTTCAGAAGGAGAGAACAGAACTATGGTTACTACAGGCAGGGAAGAGGGAGGGGGAAGGAGGTTACTGAGAAATTGGTTAATGGACACAAAGCATCTAGTTAGGAAAATACCAAGGTATGTCTTTAAAATCAAACTGTTAAAAATTAAAAACAATGAGAGGATCCTGAAAACAACAAGAGAAAAGAAGCAAATCACATATCAAGAAGTTCCAATAAGGCTAACAGCAAGCTTCTCAGCAGAAACATAACAGGCAGAAAGAGAATGAGATAATATATTTAAAGTGCTGAAGGGGGGAAAAAAAAAAGAAGAAAAACTGCCAATGAAAAATAATGTACCCAGGAAAGATGTTCACCAGGACAGGCAGAAAGAGAATGAGATAATATATTTAAAGTGCTGAAGGGGGGAAAAAAAAAGAAGAAAAACTGCCAATGAAAAATAATGTACCCAGGAAAGATGTTCACCAGGAATGAAGGATATAGAAAGACTTTTCCAAACAAACAAAACTGAGGGATTCATGAACACCAGACCCATGTTAAAAAAAATGCTAAAAGAAGTTCTTCAAGCTGAAAGAAAAATTATAAAGAATTACAAAGAAATTATAAAATTCACTGGTTAAAATAATTTAAAATATTCTAATACCATAACATTGTAATGATGATTAATCACTCATATATTTAGTATAAAAGTTAAAAGACAAAACTATTAAAGTAATAATAGCTACAATAATTACTTAAAATTCACAATATAAAAAGGTATAAATTGTAACGTCAAAAATAAAATGCATGTGGAGGGACTAAAAGTGTGGAGGATTTTTTATGAAAT